AATAGGTTTAAGGTTTCGATTGCGCGGGGGCAAGAAATAGGAGTTTGGTTAGGTAATTTGATAGAGAATGACGACTATTCGATAAACGAGACGTCAGCCTCACAATTAATTAGTCGGGGAATTACTGGAATGCTGGATTCCAATGACACCTTTTTCATTCGAAAGATTCTACGAAATGTGTTTGAGAAGGTTTCAATCGCACGGAGGCGAGGAAAGCAAGTTGGGTTGAATATTTTAAGGGAGAATGACGACTACTGATAAACGAGACGTCAGTCTCGCAATCGATTAATCGGGACACCATTGGAATGCTTGATCCCAACGATACCTTTTTCATTCGAAATATGTTTGATGGATAGTTTAGACGCGAAAGAGTTTGAATTGAAAGAGATTTTGATTCAATCACACGAGGGCGAGAAATGAGGTTATGCGGGTTGAAAAATTAGGAGGAATGACGACTATTTGATAAGCAAGACGTCGGCCTCACAACCAATTAGTCGGGATATCGTTGGAATGCTAGATCCCAACGACAATCTTTTTCATCCCATTAATTATGAAATATGTTTGTTGGACAGTAAATACTTGTCCAAATAATTAAAGGAGGTATTTTAGAAACGAAAGTTTGAACGACACGCCATTCAAGGCGTACGCCTCAATGGTAGTCACTCTCGAATTCGAGGAATGCGCGACTCCAAGAACTCGACTCTTTTGTGATTTAATTTAGAAAAAATAATTTGAATATATTAGCGTACTCGGACTAGGCGCGCTAGGTATTCTTGAAAATAAGATCGGAAGGGTCACAACTCAAGGTGTGCACCTCGAGAGCGGTCGCTTAAAAAATTCAAGGAATGCGAGATCCAAGAATTTGATTGTTTTGAAAATTGATTTTGAAAAATAGTTTAAATTAATTAAGAAATATAGTTTTAATTTTCATATAAATTAATCAATTGCAAAAAAGTTTTGATTTTCATATATAAGAATAAATTAATCAATTGTTTATAAAAAGATTTTGAGAAAAGCTAGTCATATTTAATTGTTTTTTTTGAAAAAAAGAAAAAAAAATTAATATCTTAGAAAAATATTTTAGCTTTATTAATAAAGTATATATATATTTTTTTATACTTAAAATATTATTATAATTAATTGTTTTGAAAAGGTTAATATCTTTAAGAAGAAATAGGTTTTAAATAAAATATATTTTTGAAAGGTTTATTATTTAAAAGTATTAATTTGGTAATGATTTTTGAAATATATTTTGAAAATGACATTTGAGGACAACAAAAGTTAGACATAATTTACTAACCAAGAACTAATATTTTTAATTCAAAACAACAGCTTGAATATTAACGACGTCACGTCAGATATTCGACAAAAATTTTAGAATAAAAACAACCATAAAATGCTTTATAAACATTGATAAATACATCAAATCTCTGGTAGCAACCAAGCCTAATTGAGTGCTTATAATTGAACCAAAGAACCAGGATTCAAAGATTTACCGACGCCGTATAACCAGAGTGAGAGCTGCCACGTCCGAGTTTGTTGAAATCCTCCAATATCACTGTTGCAATTTCGTTCAGAAGCTGAAGGTAGAACACGGTTTTCCTTTTTTTGTCATGATGCTCAACAACCTGCAAATCAACCAAACAGTACAAGAAAAAAATGCCCACTCCATTTCGATATGATGTGATTAACATTGTTGTTGGATGAGGCTTATGTTGCTATGAAATTGTTGCTGGAATCCTTGTCGGGAAACAAGTTGGAAACCTTCTAAGTACATCATCGTTCACACAATTTCAGAACCATAGTGAATCCAAGGCAAATCGGAAAACAATGCATCCTCCTCGCACAATTTCAGAACACCTACTTTATGGTTGTAGTTGCTGCTGAAAGTATTGCTCGAAGTGTTGTCGCGAAGCTGAAGCTTATGACCGGTGTCAAATATATTGTGGCTCAAATAATCTTCTGGTGGATTTCGAGTTCAAGCTCACAGCGGCAACGTCGACATTTATTTGTGCATAACCAATTCTTTATGTCTGAGATCTTGTAACCTCAACATGGTTGCTGTTGTTAAAGAGAAAAAAAATTGATGTTGCCTGAAATGAGTTCATGATGTTACCGGAACCGTCGTTGATACCGTGTCGTGAGCGATTGAAATTTTGTGTGATGTTGTCGTCACGTTGTTGGTGATGTTCGACACTGCGTCTCCGAACTTGCGTTACAGAGTTGACGAAGTGAATTAATCCATCGTGACGTTCAACTCGCAGTCGGAACTAGCAAATGAGGCCAAGTGAATCAGAGGCGGTAGAATGGTTCACTGCATTGCAATACAGAACGGTGTTGTCAACTTTTCAAACTCCGATCATCCTAACAGCAGCAGCATCTGATAAGTCTTGTTCGAACCAAATCTTCAACCGAAACCTTCGCGGGATGTTATCGCTGCAGATCTAGACCTTTGACGTTGTTACACTCGCTGATGAAACAGAGATGCCTCAAGTCAATGTCGTCATCGGTAGTCTTATTTTCAGGACTGTACACAGCCCGACTGCGTTGGATCGATGGCAAATTCAGCCACAGTACCGACATAGCACCTTGTTTTTATTGGAGGAGATCAAAGCATCCAAACAAAAGCTACAGGTTTAGCTTGTATAAAAGTAGTAGCAGGGTGACAAACTAGATTAATGCAAACCTTTACAGTATCATCCAGAACGAAAGAAAAAGAAAAAAACAACAATATTTCAGAATTAGTATATCATTATATCCTCAAGTTGAACATAGAGGTTACTGTAGGAGTTGTCGGTGAGTGGCGGCAGCTGCAAGTTGTGACTCTGAAATGAAACCAACGTCAAGCTATCAAAGCGCACATTTTAATCTCGGATGAATTTCGTAAACTGCTCAAACTGGAATCAAAATGTTAGAATCAAATTGTTGCAAAGCAACATCAGAATTTCACAATATTATCTGCTGCGGATCAAAACCAAACATTAGAAAACGGTAAACAATTCGAATAATTTGTTGCATAGCCATGAAATTTAAGTTGAGACTAATTCTATTGTTAGCAAGGCGATGATGATGTTGACTTATCATTATAGTGTGCCTTGCCTTGTTGTTGTTGAGACGTGAAGGAGCATCCGCGATGAAGTTTGCCAACAGTAGGAAAAATCATAAAACGCACCCGTGATGTCGCTACTGTCTAACTCTCGTACTCTCATCGATGGAAAACGGTAACGGCGGGGTCGTCACGGCTGTATTGCGGTTGATGTGTGCCGCAGTTGCTGTGGTGATTCTTTTGTTACGACGACTTCGAGATAGTTGCGGGTGTGTTTGATGTTGTTGCAAGTTGAACTTGGGGCGATTTTGAACCGTCTCTTCCACTGAATGCCTCAACAACAGAAGTGCGTCGCAATTCATCGGATACGTGGCCTTCCGGATTCTCGTGTCGACCCTGATTACGACAGTTTTTGTTCCTCCAAATGGGAAAGATAAGCCTACAACAGTAGCAGTAATTCGCTTCCAATCTTGCATCCGATTCGAGGCCGAGGCGTGGGTTACTATTGTTCTGTTTCATTGTTATTGCAGAAGGTCTACAAGGATGACTAGATGACAATATGTTGTAGAAGACGGAGTCTGAGAATGTCATGCCGACATTGAATCGGTACCAAAGTCCCTGCACATGAATGAAAATACAGCCAAACAGAGCAGGAAACCAATACAAAAAAATGAAAACGAAAAATAAAGAGTTAAGTGGATACATAACCCATTCACTCTTCTCGCTCATCTCTATCTCCATAAACTGGTCACAGCTTGACACACACATAACCGAAATCAGCTTGCCGCAGTTGTCGCAAAGTTGTTGTTACAACCTGCACGTGAAGCAAATAAACACCACAATCCAAACCGTTTTCACGAATTTGAAACCTTCAAGACTAATTTTGCACAACGAGTCCTGGAGAAGCACTTGTTGTCGTGTTAACGAGTTGCTACGACAATAAACAGATCCTTGTTGAATCATAAACAAAGAAAAGCCAAACTTTGAAGCTCGAACACTCCTTTATGAAACCTGGTATGAATCCTCATCAACCTTGCTGCCCGTCTCTGCAAAACTAACATCCCTTCCCAGAAGATCTGATAACCAGCCGTTAATGAATGGTCCGAGCCTTGTTATCGTCACCGATGCCACTCGCTCGCGGCAAATGTCAAGGCTCTGTATTGCTGCTAAGACCAAACATTGATTGTTGTGTTTTTGTGTCAAAAGCTGAAGGTAGAACATTTTGCTGCTTAAACGAAAATCGGCGATGTCGCAATCTGCATAGTAATCAACAGCTTGAAGTTGACATGGAGGTTGTTATCATTGAGTTCAAATGTTGCAGAATGTTGTAGAGTTGTGCTGCTATATATATCTCAGTTGCCGTTGTGGTGTGGGAATCGAAACTCAACGGCGCTTGTGTTTAGACTTGAACTGTGAATGGGGTTCACGACCTGTTCAAAATATTACCAGAAGCGAAAACGCCTGCTGCTACGAGCTTTTGTTGCTTGAGTAAGCTTTAAGATGCGACGATGTTGAGTTTGTGTTGAATTGTTGCTTCTGAGAAATGCCCATAGTTGAAGACACACTCTTAACAATTCCAACAACATCAACAAGATCGGACTTATTGACATAGGGACCCAACTGATCAATTGGGACAAAATTGAATTTTGTCTCTGGAACAAAACTAGCTTCGCTAGCAACCTCTTCGACCTCTGAATTTTCATTCAGTGTCATTTCATAATCATTTTGCACAGTTTTGAACTGTTCGTTAGCAACTTTCAAAGATCCTTTTGAAATGTAATAAACCTTTCCCATTACAAACTTCTCATAAAACTTCCTTGCCGCATCATTAAACATTGTTGCTTGGATCTGTGTACCATCTTCATCAGTTAATTCAACATTGAATACACATCCTTCTCCTCAGTTTTTTCACAGACTTCTCTTCAAAAACTCTTAGGATATTCGATCTGCAACCATGGCGTCGAGAAAGACCGATAATCCTCAATACGACGATGGTGCCAGTCCCGGGAAAATCTTCATCGGAGGGTTAGCCAAAGATACAACCCTAGAAACGTTCGTGAAATACTTTGAAAGATATGGAGAGATAACAGATTCTGTTATCATGAAGGATCGACATACTGGTCGACCCAGAGGGTTTGGGTTCATTACTTATGCGGATCCTTCTGTTGTTGATTAAGTTATTCAGGAGAACCACATCATCAACGATAAGCAGGTTGAAATTAATAGGACCATTCCAAAGGTAGCAACTCTACGAATCAGATCAGCAAGTCGACCATCAGCTAGCACCCCAGATTTGTATGATTGCAAAGATTCAATCAAAGGAGCAGAGGTTCCAAAAGCTGGTCAGCTGTTTCATAATAATCCAAAGGATCGTAGTCACATGTAACATCCTCAAGAAGTTTTTCTCATTCAGCTCAGAGACAGCATACTGTGGCTGAAAACAATGATTCTCGATCATCCAGCTCTCCATTTTACGCACTGCTTCTGCACCATCAAACACCTCGCCCCTGAACACAGGACCTGGTGCATAGTAAACTCCAACATCTGTGTACATCTGCGCGTTCTGTGTGTCTCCCTGCCGGCGTTGCAACTCGAAGCCTGCTTCTGGGTAGATCATAGTTTTGTCAGGCAGCTTGAACAGTTTGTGTGGACAGAGCCAAATGGGGTATATCTCCATCTCATGGTCAACCCGTTCTAGTGCATCTCCCACCTTGTACAGTGGAACAAGCATGTCCTGTGTATGCTTATCAAATATCCCAGAGCTATTGAAAAAAAAAAGTGGATCATAAGCATTTAAATGAGCTCTTAACATTGAAGATAGAAATCCAGCTAAGTCAATCCGCCTCCTTTCAGACCACTCATTCGCCACAGGAGAGGTCTTATCCTCCTTATCATATATAAATGCGAGCAAACATGCTTGAACTCCTCATATGCTTCCAGATAAGCATCGAGTGCACAAGGAGCAAGAGCAGTCCTCAAACAATCAATAGCCGAGTCACGATCCTCACTCGATAGTGAATGATTTCAAAACCTTTACATCTAATGAAACATACTGAGGTAAATCACAGCTTCACTCCTCAATGCAATCTCAACACATCCACACAAGGTTGCGATCTTGAAGCTAACCGAGCTGCGAAATCAAAATGTCAGCGTTCAGTTTGTCATCACCGCAGCAACTAATGCTTTGTATTATTGTTGGTGTTTCTATGAAGTCGAAACCGTGTCATTGCCCATTGCCGAAACAACGACTCCCTTGGCACGCTTCTGCACCACGACATTTCATCGAACAGCTTCTGAGCACAACTTCCACAACTGGAATTTGAACTAATCCACATCTATTACTTTACTTTGTTGGGATTTTAGTGGGTTAACGTGATGTTCTTGCTTCAAGTTGTTGTTGAAGAACTGTTGTTGTTGCACCTTCCTCATGGTATTCTTCTCAATCCCTTCAACATTTTGAAAAACGTTTCTTCATCTACGTAACATTTCTGTATCTCGCTTTATGTTGTTGGATTCCCCCCAATTTCATGTTCAGAAGTTAGTTTTCGTGAGAAAATTTGAGGTGATCTTCGTGCTATGATGTGGAGCCATGGTTAATGATTTGTAAAGATATTTGAGGGATTCGGCTTAAGGGAAACGAGCGATGAGAATGATGGAGAGATAGGAGAAGATTACGTGGAGAAATGTTTCGTGAAGAAAGGGTATGAGTTTCGGTGTGAAGCGAGGTCGAAGAAGATGGCGATGATGATGGTGAGAGGTTACGACGATTTTTTTGGAAGAGGAAAAAAAAAAGAAAATCAATGGTGAGGACGATGGTAAAAGAGAGAGGCGAATGAAGGAGACGGAGAGATGAGACGGAGGGTTTCACGGTGAGGCATTTACGGTGAGGGGTTTTAGGTAAGCGGCGCCTTTTTTCACGAAGGAAGATGAACAGTGTTTCTAAAAAAATTAGGGTTCCTGAAAAGGGGGCGGCCCCAAGTTAGGGCTTGATGAACAGTAACGTCCCTCCCTCTGTAGGGTTTTGGTGAACAGTAAGTCACCCTTTATACACCACTTCTCAACCCTAATTCCCAATTAACCGTGTTTTCTCAATCAAATTCTTTTTCTATTTTTCTTTTAATTTTTTAATAATAAACTAAATTAATAAACCTATTTCCTATTTAATTTAATTATAACTATTAATTACAATTTTAAATCTAAGCTAATTAATTAAAATCTAATCTAATTTTTTAAAAATAAATCCTAATTAAATTCTAACTCTATTTTTTAATCTATATTTTTTTTTAAATTAAAATTTCTAAATTATAATTAAGTTCTAAATTAAATCTATCTAATTAAAAAAATTTTAAATTTAAATCCTAATTTCTAATTCAAAACTAATTAAAAATAAAAAAACATTATATTAACCTATTATGAGAAAAAAAATGAAATTATGAAAAAAATAATGATAGATATATATAAAAAACAAATGCCACGTGGCATGCTCTTACTGGGCTAAAAAGGTAAAAATGCTTGTTTTTGCTGAAAAATACGCTACGCTGTATAAGCGAGGTAAATTAAAAACAAAGTCGGGCAAATGAGAATTTTGAAAAAAGGTAGGACAAATTTGGGGTATGACAGGTTTTAGTTGATCCCAGAGTAGTGACGACATGGCGGCGTTTGTTCTCGGAGGGGGCCATGGACTTTGGTGGTTCCCGCATGAGAGTTCTTGGTTTTGTGCACGAGGATCCTTCCCCGAACGTGTCGGGGAGGACCCCTGACACTAATATTATTTAGCTGTGCCACTTAAGTAGGGCTTAGGTCGAGGATCCCGTCCTTCGCCCTTTGCGCGCCCTTTCACTTGACTAGCAGTGGAAGGGTGGATTTGATTTTGTCATCGAATTTTCTTTTTTCCTGTTCTTTAGGTAAATGCAATGTCGCGCAGGTCTGTTGAGGACGAACACCGCAGAGATTTATCCAAGGATAGCTCCTCGGAGGATACTAAAACGGACGATGACTCTTTATCCCCTAATGCTGTAGGGATGACTACCGAGAGGACATCGGTCGATGAGTGGACCGTAGCTGAGTCAATGGAACATGCCTCGCTCTTTGCTTCATACACCAGAGACGCTTTCACTACGGTGGGGCCGGAGGGAGGGTGGAGGGTCCGCTTCCCCTCAGAGGAAGAATGTATATGTTCAGCATATGGGTAGCGATTTCCCATGTACAAATATGTTTTTAAAGAGACAAGGCTAAGGTTGCCCTTCACGGACTTTCCACAGGCAGTCTTCGTGCATCTTGACTTGGCGCATTCCCAACTGCACCCAAATTCCATTGTCTTCATGCGGGCGTATGAATTGGTGTGCGAATACTTGCAGATCGGGGCCACCCTTCCACCCTTATTCACCATCTTTCATCTTCAACAAATAGGTGTCAGGGAGGAAGTTCGGTTGGATTTTCTTGAAACAGGGAAGGAAACTGTTCAAACCCTTCTCCAAATCTATTCGGACCTTTAAAGAGAGATTTTATGTGATCAAGCTGGTGTCGGAGAGAGCTACTGACTCGACCTTTGTGTGGGAGATCTCAACAGACAAAACGGGGGCGACCTGATAGACGATGAGGGTAAAATAGTTTCCCGGAGGTTGTTTACATTCCCCTTCTGCTGAGTGGGGCTCACTCTACCCTGTTCGACTGATGAATACATAGTTACTCCTCATCAGTTGGTCGATGACGATCGAGCCAACTATGCCAAGTTGGTGACCTTTGTGGACGCGCATGACTCGCGCCGGGTAGGTGCTTTATGAGGAAGATGGGGGGTTACAAATGGAAGCCTGATAAATTAATACTAAATAGCTCCTTGAGTGTAGAACTCGCAAGGATGCTCTCAAACTTTTGGGTAGCTTTTTTATTTTTCTTATTTTATTCGAGATGATTTTCTTCCCACGTGCCGGCATGCTCGTTATTTTTGCAGGTAAAATGTCTTCTGCATAAGAGAGGATGGTAAAGCATGCCAGAGGAAAGATGAAGGGTTGTGCTGCCCTAGGAAGAAGTCACCTTGGTCAGCGAATGGCTCCCCTACAGACAGGGTCGAGGACTTCATCGTCAAGTCCTCCGGCCACTCAGACGTCCCCTCTGTCCGTGAGCTCGAAGGCCAAGCGCAATAATTGGAAGTCTCTCCTGAGAAGTTTATCATCCTTGGTGTTATTCAACCTTTTGTAGTTGCATTTGGTATTACCCTCAATCAATCATTTATCATCAACTTTTTGACGATGTATTCCAATATCAGGTTTTCTTCCTATCAACATTTTGACGACGTGTTCCTTCGGACAGGTGTTCTTTCCGTCAACCCTTTGACAATGTCACATTAGTGAATTTTTTTTCTTTCAATCAATCCTTTGATGATGTGGCTTTTTATTTCGATTATCCTTTCGTCAACCATTTGAGGATGTATTCTGAGATCAGGTTTTCTTTTCGTCAACCTTTTGACGATATGTTCCTTAGGGCAGATGTTGTTTTCCATCAACCCTTTAATGATGTGATTATTTAGTTCAGTTATCTTTCCGTCAACCCTTTGGCGATGATAATGTTTCTCTCCCGTCAACCCTTTGACGATGTCACTCTTTGGTGAATTGATTCGTTTATGTCAACTCTTTGATGATGTCACTCATTAGTGAATGTTTTATCTTTCCGTCAACCTTTTGGGCGATGCCATTTATTTCCATCAACCCTTTGATAATGTGGCTCTTTATTTCGATTATCCTTCCGTCAACCCTTTGACGATGTTGGTGGTTACTTTTGATGATGTTCTTCTAGAGTGTCAACCGGTCTTGGCTTGAACCTGTTGATCCATCACTTTAAATGTCTTGCTTTATTTTCTTTCCCCAGTGGAGAACGTCTTTCCGGTTCCACCTTCATTGAGGATCTTTTCTTCTAGAATATCATCCGGTCATGGTTTGAACCTGATGATCAATCATTCTAGATACCTCCATTAGAGCCCATCTTTTGGTTCTACTTCTAACGAGGATGCTTTTTTGGTCCAATCCTAAGGCTTTGAGGGTTGTGTCCCATCTATTCTTTTCAGAGTGTCAGTCAGTCATTGCTTGCACTTGTTGATCAACTACTCTGGATATTCCTCAGTGGAGACCATCTCTTGGTTCTATCTCCATTGAGGATCTCTTACTTCTAAATTGTTAACCG